TGCTAATGCTGCTACCTTAAATGAACATAGGTTCAATTTTTGGGTGTCCACCTGAAAACCAGATAGTTCTGTGTTTATAAGCAATGCTGACATGCATTATACTTTACTGTGCTTTGACGACAAGCTATAAATTTCCTCTAACTCAGATGTATATTCACATCTCTGCTTTCAACACCCTGCTACTAAACATGGAAGCAATATGCAGCATATCATTTACCATATGTGCATATGAATCTATATTTCACTGAAGACATACACTCGTGTGTGTGTGTGTGTGTGTGTGTGTGTGTGTGTGTGTGTGTGTGTGTGTGTGTGTGTGTGTGTGTGTGTGTGTGTGTGTGTGTGTGTGTGTGTGTATAACAAAGACGTGCACACTCATTGATAGAGGTTATATTCAGTTCTCAGCTGGACAGCAATGTCACCTTATTACAGGAAAAGTGATTTAGATAAATGTGCATTTACTGCAATAATTAGAGAATGTTAATTTTTTATATAAGAAAGATGATGAATTCAGAGACAGACACCTAATGTAATTCTAAATCAGATCTGTCTTTCACTTTGTTATCTGTGCCTCTCTGCAAGTTCGGTATTAGAAGCACTGGTTCACCCAGGGTTGTACTAAAGAGAGGAAAGCTAAGATGTCAGGAGGAAGGATATCTTTCAGTACGAGAGACAAGGCATGGCATACATGTACACTGTGCAAAAATGTGGCTAAGGTTTTCAAAGATAATTAAGGGGACTGGATTCCAAAGTAGATTTTTCAGCCATGCCAAAGGGAGGTCCATAGGTATCCAACTCCAGCTGACTGACTGAGACAGTGTGGACTCGAGTATTTTGGACACTCACAAAAATTATGTTTAAACTTGTCCTTTGAACATGGGTGTCCAGAGCTCTTGAACAGCTTTGGAAATGTTTATCTTTGCATTTTAAGTTATGATGTACTGTCCTGAAAATGTAAGATATTTTATAGTCCCTTATATATGTCCTTTCAGTAATAATTCACTGGACCTCCCAGGCCCGGACTGCAGGATATATTCTCTTGCACCAGTGGAAAACTTGGTCCCCAGTACTGGAAGGTCTGTATGGTATGGCAGGAGCACAAAGCTCTTGTGGTACCAGGCAGAACTTACCCAAATGAGAACGAAGCTTTGAAACATTTGCAATTCATAGCTGAGAAATTACCCACTTTCTTCCAGGCTCCTATTCAGCCCTGCAGTCATGCTCCGGTAAGTGTCTCAATTAAACAGATACAGCTGCTAAAATTAGTTACCTCAATATCTGTGCATCACTCCATGCTTTTCCTTAGAGGCTCACAGGCATTTCTGTGGGGGCAATTCTATTTCTAACAATTTTAGAGCCAGCACAGGCAACTCTCCTGACTGAACTCTTAATATTGCCAGCCAGATTCTGCCCTGGGTTAGGCTTGGCAGGCTCCGCGTACAGCAACACTGACTACAGCGGGGACTGCACATAGGCATGGCTGCCTATTCATGCAATGGGTATTTCAGGCTAGGGGCCTTAGATTTGCACAGTGCTCTTCTCTTTAGTTAGGCTGGAGCAGAATTTGGCATCCTGGTTTGAGTACTCTTTTTAAATACTGTACCAATCTCGGTGCACACAAACGTGTAGCTCTTCAGCTGATGTAAATAAGTATCAGTACAGCTCTACTGAATTCAGCAGAGCAACATGTTTACCTCAGCAGAGAATCTGGCTTGGTGTTGCAAACGGTTCATAACTCCATGATACCTACCAACTTAAATGGACATACCTGGCTACATCCTCTTGTTTTAGCCTGCAAATGTAGATAAAAGATCGGCTTCCACCAAGTGTCTCCTGAAATCCCTTGCCAAATCTTTAGACTGTACTGGGCTTCTTCTAATATTACATTAAGAGCTTTACTATTCTTCTGACTTTGCACTTCTCTCAGTTCAGCCTCCAGAGAATTCCAATTCCCTGCATCTGTCCTGAGCAAACTACTTGGATTCGCTTGCTGTGTTTATAAGAGGAGAGTGTCATAGGTGACTAATTTCTTGCAGGTCTAGTAATATTGTGTGCATGTTTACCTTATTTCTTTGGCCTGATTGGTGGAAGGATCTATCATCAATGCAAGTTTCCTGACCATACAGCATCTAACATACCTTTATGTGGAGGGCTGGAGAACCTTAAAGCTAAATGCAACAGCAGCATTTTTTTGTCTTCCCCTCTCCTCTGTGTTTTGCTTTTAAGATCTAGAGTTCTCAGTCTGTTTTAGGCTGTGTACATACATTCAAATTATCTGGAAGAATTCTCTCAAGTTTGTTCTCATGGTAGAAAAACCTACCCAGAACCATGTGTACAGACATTTGAATGCTGGGGCCCTGAAGAGTAGACAGCTTGCAGGGGGGGGAGCCCTGGGCCCACATCTCAATATGCTCTCAAGGCTCCATTACTCTACCTGGCAACAGATGGCAGCAGTGCATACGGCAGCCCTAACTGGCTAACCCAGACTGCCCATGGCCAGCTTGTGTTGCCAGCATGTACAGACATTTTCTCTCCTAGAAGAAATTCTGCTGGCAGTGATTTATAGTTTCATAGTTTCATAGTTTCATAGATTTAGGGTCGGAAGGGACCTAGTAGATCTTCTAGCCCGACCCCCCGCCAGGGCGGGAGAACAACAAAACCCCAAAACAAGAAACGGGACTCAAATGAGTCCAGCCAGGTAGGCATCCAGCCTCTTCTTAAAGACCCCCAGGGTAGGGGCCAGCACCACTTCCCTTGGAAGTTGGTTCCAGCTCCTAGCCGCCCTAACTGTGAAGTAGTTTTTGCGGATGTCCAATCTATACCTCCTCTCCATCAACTTGTGCCCATTACTCCTTGTTATGCCAGCGGGCGCTAGGGGAAACAGCGTCTCCCCCAAACCCTTCTGGTCCCCCCTAGTGAGTTTATAGACGGTCACCAGGTCCCCCCTCAGCCTTCTCTTGTGGAGGCTGAATAGGTTCAGGTCCCGCAGTCTCTCACTGTAGGGTCTGCCCTGTTGTCCCCGGATCATGCGGGTGGCCCTCCTCTGGACCCTCTCCATGTTGTCCACATCCCTCTTGAAATGGGGCGCACAGAACTGGACACAATACTCCAGCTGTGGCCTGACCAGCGTCGCATAGAGGGGGAGGATCACCTCCTTGGCTCTACTCGAGATGCACCTGTGGATGCACGACAAGGTCCGGTTAGCCCTGCCAACCATGACCTCGCATTGTCGGCCCATGTTCATCTTGGAGTCAATAATGACTCCAAGATCTCTTTCTGCCTCCGTGCTCTCAAGTAGGGAGTTCCCCATTGTGTAAGTGTGCTGCTGGTTCCTACTGCCCAAGTGCAGCACCCTGCACTTGTCTGTATTAAAACGCATCCTGTTCCTGTTAGCCCACCCCTGTAACCTATCCAGATCCCTCTGCAATCTCTCACTCCCTGCTAGCGTGCTGGTTGTTTCCAGAGCAGACATTTTTACACTGGGAGAAAAAAGCCTGAACTTCTGTACACTCGTGTTTTCTCCTGGGACAGCAGCAACTCTCACCAGGAGAAACTGAATGCCTTAGCCTTACCTTAGGCGCTCACAAAATAAATATGAACTGTAGCCCCAACCCAATGTGTCAGTGAAAATACTTGCACTGATTTCAGTGGGCTTTGGGTCAGGTCACCAAACCCCTGTAAGCACTATGTGGCATTGTATAAACAATGCACAAGTTGTACCTTCAGTTATGATGTGAGCTGCTGTGGCTTCTGGATACAATAGACTAAAGGATGGAAGAGAACACGTGTTGTCAACCAATAACTAACCAGATTACTTTTAACACATATTCACCCAGGGTCTGATTCCTTTCCCATAAGCCCATCCCTCTGAGTCCTTTAATACTGGACCAAGGATCCATCAATATTGCATCAATGAGGTAGAAGGAGAAAAACTGGGAATTCAAAGCTCATGGTATTATTAGGACTGATGGAGTTACTCCTCTTAGCTGTTATTACTACCTCCATATTTAATAGTAAACTTCTTCACTGGTAGTTAGCTATACACACCTTTTCTGTGGCTTCTTAATGCTCCATTCAAAGAGGGAGGAACAGGGACTGGCCACCTTTGATCCGCAGAAGGATGATCAGGTTGGCAGCCATACCTGGCAAATGTTTCCCCTCAGTGACATTGATGGACATTATTGCAATGGCACTTGTCACACAGCAGCTGGCACTGGCAAAGGGTAAGGAATGAATGCTTCCAAATCAGGGAGTGCATGCTGCCTGTCAGCTGAAAGAGTCTCACTGGAACAAGTCAAAATGAAGACTTCCAGCAGGACATTACTAACTCTAATTACTAGGTGTCCAGCAAGACATTACTAAATCTCCTTGGGATATTTAGATTCCTAACAATGTAAATAAAAAAGGCAGGGATTTCTTTAGCCTGGGGAAAGCTCTGCTGACAATTATTCAGTTCAGAAGACAGCCATTAATATGCATGAGCTCCTCTAAAATCAGTATTTAAAAATCAGTTCTGTAGTGGACAATTTTCAATTTTGTTCTGATTTTAAACCTGAAAGCACTTACTGAATGCACTTTACAGCCCCACCACACCTAGGATGTCTCAAAGTCAGATAGTCAGGAATCCTGACTGAAGTTCACACAAACCCACCTTCCCACCAACCCCGCAATTATGTCTGCATTTTTATTTAAAGGTGCAAGATAGAAGTCCAAACTGGAGGGTGTCCAGACATAAGGGAATACATATTGTATCATCCATTAGCATAAACTAACACAACTTCACTAAAGTCAGTGGAACTGATTGATACTGTTTGAGGATCTGGCTAATAATTCCTAAAATTAGCCTTAAAGGTGCTCTCTCTGTGCATGAACTGAAGAGCTAAGGAAGGATAAAGATAAAACAAGAACACCTGCTCCTTTCCAGCAGGCCCAGCCATGCCCCCAGAGTACCATTCTGAAATCAATAAACCAACAGTAACGCGAGATGTAAAGTCTCAAACCTCAGCAGCTGCTTTTGAGTCCACAACCCTTGTGTAATCCCAAATGCCTCCTTGGTTATTTAAAATCCCAATGAACAGTCATCTGGGCTGAAATAAGCAGATCATTCACGATTCGTGTCTGAAACTGACACATCGTTTTTCATTAACTCTGCCTCACAATTCACTTGTCTAAAGCAGTTGCAAACTTCAAAGATAAATGTCACAGCTTTTAAATTATGTTGCAGAATGTTTTGTTCATAATATTTATATATGTCAAGTGCTAAAGTTATGCCAACAAATATTAAAGTTTTGCTAAAAAGGCTAGAAATGAAAGCAGTATAGGAAAGTTGAGGCTTTTATATTATTTTCCCGTATAACTGAACTATACATTAAAAGTCACTTTCTACTCATTCATTTATATTTACTTGAAGTGAAGTTTTGAAAATAGAGATCAATCTCTTGAAGGCAGGCAATTGAGGCATGGACCATTTTAGTATGTACATTGTCCATATATTTCAGCCTCTTGGTATGTATGAAGGAAAAAAAACCTGCAAGGAATATGCAGACATATAATCAGTTACTTAGATTGTGGATTTTTTTTGTGGCCTTAAATCTTTAAAACCTCTGTGGCATGTCTGACCCTTCATCTGTCTCAGTTGGGATGCGGGATGAATGAATCTAAACTGAATTACAGAATGAATTATAAAATGAAAAGAAAATCCAAATATCAAAGCCCCGTTGGGTTATAAAAGGACTTGGCATTCCAACTGGACCCAGCTCTGATTTAATGTCACTGCTTAAAGAGGCACTATATCTTCTTTACCTTCCTGCAAAAATTACAGCCTGAAAAGATTGGGACTATTTATAGTCTCACAAACAACCATAACTTCCATGTTAGAAAACCAACTCGGTGAATTATTCAGCCTAGCTTTCTTTGAGTACAGCCTTATGATCCTTATTTATCAGTGCTTTAAACAGACAAATAGCTACTGGTTGCTCTTTGACTGGCAGAGTTCTTAGCAGCTCCAAACATCATGGAAATAATCTGGCCCATTTTGTTGTTGGAGTATGTAACAAATGCAAATGTTCATCTATTCAGAATGCTCTTTGTCACAATGTCTTGGAGTAACAGTGGTAATATGACACTCTACCTTGAGCAAAGAGTTAGGTTAGTTACCTCCTGGGGTCCATTCTAGTCCTATTTTCCCATGATTCACATGAAATAACCTGTTAGCAAGAATGTTACTTTTTATCTGTAGATCTCAATGCTTTTTTTTACAAAGCATCATTTGTAGACAAGATGGCCGTCTACATGCACACTTAACTTCAGAATAGATTAATTAGCTGCAGAGTAAGGCGTCACTGTCTACACGTGCAACACTATTAGGCTGTAGTGAACTAATTAACACTGCAGTAAGATAGTACAGTCTCTAACAGTACTATCTCACACCAGGGTAATTTACTGTGATTAAACACACATGTAGATGCTGACCGTGGGCATAAATTGTGCCTGGTCAGCCCAGCCAGCAGGGAGCCAGACTCCTGCCTGGTGCCTAGCCACATGGTTCTGCGCTTTCAGCACCTTTGGGAATTTGTACGTGTGTTTTGGGACATGGCACCAGGTGCTTTAATTAGGGAGCCATGCTAATTAAAAGTGCCCGCATGTCATGTGTTTCAGTGTCCCCACACTGAAAAATGGTGGTGGGGCACTTTGAACTAAAGCTCATTGAATGTGTTTTAGTTCAAAGCACCCCGCCACCACTTTTTCAGTGCAGGGAGGCTGATACATGTGATGTGGAAGGCTGCCGGAGAGTATCAATTTCCAGCGTGTCAGAGCAGGTCCTCCACATATCTATAGGAGCTCTTTGTGCCCCAGCCAGCCCCTCCACTGCCTGATGACACTACAGAGCTCAGGACTGACCCCTGCTCCAGGCCCTTGCCCTCAGCCCTGGTGTAAACTGCTCCACCCCAACTCTGTCCTGTGTGCACGAGTTGTGCTCATGCTGTGCCCAGGAGTTATTTACTCCAGTTTAAACCACTCCGAAGTTTATTGCTTTACATTAAATGCCTGTGTAAATGCACCTGATGAGAGCAATGGTGTGATTTTCTGTGGCACTTAGTACTGACTTCATTTGAAATTATTCAGAACATATGACAATCCATCTCACTTGCCAGATTTTCCAAAGCACCTAAAGCCATAGAAAAAGTTGGGTGCTGAGCACTTCTGAAAATTCAGCTGTCATTTAAATCCTAAGACTGTGGAGCATTTGCCCATTGGGAATACCTGGCTTGAACCAAAAAGAGAGATGATGGGGAAAGAGCTGAACCCCAAGCTACACAAAAAAGGAGACTGCAGATTCATAATTTGGAGCACAAGAAGAGGTTTTCCAGAACAGGCTAGTTCAAAGGCTATGTAAAATCCTAGTGTAATCGGGTGGGTGTGACTGGCCATTGTACTAAAACAGATTTACAAGGTGCAGTGGCTGCAGTACAGCCTTGGGGGTTAAAAAGTGGCAGTTCTGTTTCTGGCTCAGTCTTTGTGACTTCAGACAAATATTAAGCTGTTCTGTGCCTCAGTAATCTCACCTGTTAAATAGGTATGAGAGCCTACCATTATTTAGCCCTTCTCCTCATGCAATTGCAGTTTGACTTGGTGTAAACGCTGCAGGATATGGACTTCAGCAACAAGGGAATTCGTAGCACCAAGGTGCTTCCCTAACGTCTCCAAGAAAAATGTTCAGGTAGCTTCACAATTTGATCAGCTGCCTAGAAAATAACAGTGACCAGGGGCAAACAACTTGTTTCCTTAAAAAATATGATTCTGCTTGGTTTAAAATGATTAACGCTAATGAGAGCCAAGCCTCACCTTCGCTTCTTGGCAGCTGCTTCAGTATCCTCATGATGCCTCCCTCTGTTTCATTAGAACAAACCAGTGTTATTTCCTACCCAGGCAAACAAGTCTTTCAGGGTTTGAAAGTGATGTTCTTCAGAGGGAAAGATGAGTGAGAGGTGCGCCACCCTGGGTCATGCTATGGGGCCAGGTGTTGCATCATCTGAAAGCAGTTCTTTCCAAGGCATCATATATATCAAGCCAAGCAGCGTGCACTCAGGCATGTCTTCTGCTGTCCATGGATATAAATGGCTTCGCTTTATGTAATGGAAGTGCAATCTGTACAATTTGTTCATGCGGACCCTACAAGGTGAATTTATGTTGTGATTTAGCCTGATTTTCTGGTCTGTCTAAGGAAGTGGGAGTCAAGGAGAGTACTGAGACATGCTTGAATTCCAGATGGCACTGTGATGGATGGAATTTAAATTATATGACAGAGAAACTAGTGGTGTTATAGCACGTGATCATTTGGTTGTTAGCTGGTGGTATAGTTTGCTTGTACGGGCCAGCAGGGACAGTGCGGGGAGAGAACTATTAAGCTCCAAAGTAACCCACAATTCAGGCTGTGGGTTACCCTTCATTTTGAAAAACAAAATCTGCTTTTGTTCCCATATGACCTCTTCACTTTCATTGTGGAAAATTAGTGATATCAGAAACAAAGAATTAGAGATTATGAATGAGTTATTTACATTAAAGGGACAAAGTGCATACCAGTTCAAGTTTCCTGAAGTCAGAACTTTTGCACATCATATTGGGTCTTTGTCAAACTGCATGCCCCACAACTGGACCCGTGCAAGTTCAGAGTTACACCTTCAGCATCCTGCTTTCCTACAAACAAGGATAACGTTAATATCAATGGAAAATCAAGACTGATTGTGTGGAAAGCTGCATCAATAGCAATAAGTTTTAAATGCACAAAATGTCAGGAAGACAAACAGCACTGAATCAATTCTAATGTTTGAAAATCCAGACAATTCTTTGTCGCTTTGCTTCAATTGTCTCGAGATGGGAGGTTTCTATTTTATTTTTGATAGCCATTGAATCTGAGGAAGGATAATAAATGGTGGTGGAATGTAAGATAATTAATGCATTCTGTAGAAAATAGGCTATATCTCAGCAGGACATAAATTGCAGCCAGTTTGACAGACACTCTTCAAAAGGAGTCATAAGTTGTGCCTGTGCTGTTTTGCCCCAAAGAATACTCCACTGATTTTTCTCTTGCTCTTCTGCATATGTAGTTATTAATGGCAGGCCTGATTTGAATGACATTGTTGATGTCTCCTAAAAACACATGTATGAAAGGAACCATAGCAAATCACTTCATGCAGCCAGCCATGAGTGGTAATGCACACTCACGGTTTATTTGCTTCACAGTCATTTACTTCAGAGCTTGAATCCATGACTCTTTCCTGCTCATTAAAGATGATGTTAAAAATATGACTTTCCACCAGTTACATTCCTTTGGTTGGGAAGGATACAACAGGGACATGCCTGTATGAGCTGAGCAACGGAACAACTCGAGCCAATGTGCACCCAGTGAGATGGGTGAAATAAATGCCAGTTATGAAACTACCTTTTATAATCCATCCTACCTGTGCTCAGGTCAATTCCTGTACTCACAATGAGAAACACCTTACTCCATTCACTTTGCTCCATTTCAGGGAGAGTGAATTTAGAGCAGCCCTTGGCTTGAAAAAAGTGACATAAGCCCCTTAGCTCCCATGCCTTTTTTTTCTCCACTGAGCAGTCTGGGCATTACTGACAATCAAGCCCCCAGTGCATCCTTGCAGCTTGTAATGTCAACACTTCTGTCACCAACGGCTGTCATGAAGGCAAAAGGCCCAGTCTCTACCAGACATCGAAGCCTTGAGCATGTTTGATACAGGGAAATCGTGCCTGCCTTACTTGTGCCGACAGCAGCTTTATTCCAGGAAATAAATAGGAATAAGACCCACATGGGACCAAGGAACACAAGACTACCATAACGTGTGCCCCCCACCTGCACCTAGACTGCTCTACCTCATCCCAGGAAGAATATAGGAAGGATCAGTATTAATACTGGGACAACATTGAAGGGCTTGGGATAAGCCTCTCTCCAGATTCTGGCAATCCTAACATGATCCTAAAGGTTTTGGAAGCTCATCAAAGCTATTACCACCTTGTTTGCAGACTCCCCCCATCCCCCCTCCTCCCCTATAACATGGACTTTTCTAGACAATGGTACCTTTAATTCAAATAACAGCACAAGAGGCTTGAGCTGAGAGGGTCTCTTCTGCAACAGCTGCCTGGGCCTTATTCTGCATCCCTGACAGATAAATACTTCAGCCACTTGAATTAATGCATATTCATTCAGCCAGAACAGGACTCTGCTTGGTGGTAATCATGGCTGGGATCCATAACAGCACTTAATGTCACCAGCCACCTAAATTTACTGTAATAAATGGAATGTTTCAGTGGATTCCTAATGATTTCTATTATTAGAGCATAAAAGGCAGAGACCTGAAAAACCTAAATCACACATCTTATTGCCGTTTGAATGGTAATAGCTCTGCTGCCTGTTCTCCTGGCAGGCAGGGTGAGTCCCTCAGACAAGAACCTGGCAAGTCCTATATGTATTCGTGCAGCCAAACTTATTTTAATCAAGCCAGGCGTGATCAGAGACACGTTCGTTTTACAACTGGCACGTTATCACAGAGCAGTACATGGAAAGGACCTCAAAGCTTGAACTATCTCAACTGCTGCTGCCATCTCCCAGTATGTATCACTAAGTGTCAACTGCCTAGGCTTTTCTCTTGATATTCATAATCTGCCCTTCTCATGGCCTTTGTAGTAGCAGAAACGTGTGTACTTCACTTCCTATATCTGATCTCATTGAAGCTGTGGCTCTCAGCAGAAGAGGGTCAGCTATTAGCCCGGGTATTCCCTGGGACATGCCATTTTTAAACACAATCAATAGGCCTCAGCCATGAAATTCAGAAGCACAAGTTTTCCCAGATAGATATGATAAAATAATTTAAAAGATGCTTAAAGAGGTCTCCTCATACAGCCTCCTACTGTAGACACTGGACTAATTCTCTGATGACTTGGTTCATATTAAGATTTGTCTCCTGCTGTAGCTTCATTATCCTTTCCTAATTTCAGAGCCTCGGGATTGAGAAATCCGCTCTGCAGGATTTCTATTAGTTATCAGGTGTGGGGGGAACCGAAGAGAATGTCATCCAGTCACGGTCAAGAGCAGTGAATATGACTGTTGAATACAGCTGTAAGAGAAACTTTCTTTACAAAGCAAAGACCTGTCTTTAGACACATCTGTATTGCCCTGATGCAGTGCGTGCATGCCTATGTGTACGGCAAAAGCGGAAAAGCCCTCCAAGTATTATCTATAGTCATTATGTGGGTTATCATCCCCAAAGCACTCTTCAGTCCTGTGCTGTGAGGCTGTGATTTACTCCCAGTGGGGTGAAAACAGAACCTGAGAGATAGGAATGGAAAAAAAAATAGCCTGGTGCTGGACCTCTGAACAAGGCTGACTTTTACTCTGAATGCCTAAATCCCCATAACACGCTTGAAATGTTCCCACAGCTGTTAAAGGGAGTTTGAACTGAAACAACAATCACTTTCCATGTTTAAAATGATCACTGTCCTCAAAACTATTCTTTTCTGTGCACTTCAAAGCTCCCATCCAGAAATGACTGATCCCATAGCAGCAACGACGGCGTGAAGAATGGCACAATGAAATACATACAGAACAAGTGCCTGAGGTTTGCTTTCAGGTTCGTTATTAATCTCACTGAAGACAGTGGGGGTAGCAATAGTGGTGTAAGAAGAGTAGAATTTAATCCAGGGCATTTAAGTGGAGAAGAGCAACAAGGTGCAAAACAAGCAGCTGCCAAGGAAGTCCTTTCATACAGCCAACACATCTCTGCTTTTTTCAAGGGGACCATCAGTAAGTGCAAGAAAGTAGATCAGCCCCCAAATCCACTGAGCTGGAGACAGAAAATCCTTGAAGAACACGGTTGAAGGGAACTACACCAGTCAGGACATTGTTATGCCTTTCCCTGAGCCTGAAGCAATGGGGTGATGCTTGCTGGTGGCTTCTCTTACATTTGCCCCAGGCCCTACCACCTGTCTGCTCTCATCATTCACCCACTGCAGAAGCACCTGATTTTGGATCACTAGCCTCACTGGCCCTGTAGTACTGTAGGTCCCATAATGGGCCGCACCTGGTGTGTATCAGTAGCTGCTGAACCAGAACTTCTTAAATCTTATGTGCTGGAGGCTGCAAGTGAGAGAGGAACAGGAAAAGCCCTGGTCATGCCCTGATCACTCTTCCTTTCAGCATCCGCTCTCTGCTGCTGCGTGGTACAGGATACTGGGCAAATTGGACCTATGGTCTGACTTAATAAATGACAGACCTTATGATCTCGTTTATCATAACCTGGGTGCATCTACACATGCG